AGGAGAAAACAGAGTTAACATTTCGGGTCTGGTGACCCTTCCTCAGAGCTGAGTTCTGAGGAAGGGGCACCGGACTCGAAACGTTAACTCTGTTTTCTCCTCCACAGATGCTGCCAGACCTGCTGAGCTTTTCCAGCAACTTTGTTTTTGTTCCTGATTTACAGCATCCGCAGTTCGTTTGGTTTTTTTTTCCCATGAGATTAGCTTTTAATTCCAGATTTAGTCATTTGAAGTTGAATTTGATCACAGTCACAGCGGGATTCAAACCTCTGTCCTCAGAATTTTAACCTCAGCCTCTGGATTACTAGATACAGACAATACCACTAAACTACGATCTTGTTTTCGATAAGGAGATAGATATAGTCCTTAGGGCTAAAGGGATCAAAGGGTATGGGGAGATAGCAGGGATAGGGTACATGTTGGATGATCAACCATGATCCTATTGAATGGTGGAGCAAGCTTGTGGGACTGAATGGCCTACTCCTGCTTCTCTTTTCCCCATCTTCGTTTGGTAATTTGGCTATTTCTGAATCTGTCATTTCTACGCTTGAACAATTTGCTGTCTAAACATCACAATTTGGCATAAAAAGTCTTCAAACATGGCAATATTTAGTTTCTGTGTGTTGTCAAATCAGTCATTACATCATGCAATTTATATCTTCGCATCTGCTCTTGTAAAAGGCCAGTTTGGCAGGTTCAGAACTGAGCTCCCTTACGGACGAATTAGCATGTCACACCAGAGCTGTCATTTATATTTGAAATAGAGTAAATGTTTAAGTTTTATTGTAGGTAGACAGGCAAATGAGGGCAATGCAGTTCTCATTTGCGTTTCACGTTCAGTGATAGAGAAACTATTTGACATGACAATCTGTGTGCCTGAAATTTCTTGATGTATTTGCAAGGATTACAGCGCCAATCTTATACCCGGCAAATATACTTACGTAATTTTGTCTTTTACAGGGATTCAATACAATGGTAACCAGGTAAGTGGCAATAACATCCAAAAACTTATTAATCCAAATATTATGCAGACAACATCTGGTATTCATGAAAATTGATTTCCTGGTGTCTTCATCAGCCTTACATTCCAAGTCAACATAAAACCTGCTCATAATTTCTATAAATCCATGAGCCGGAGCTTCAAATCCGATTGTATTAAAGCCTTACTTTGACTTGGCTTTGGCACTTACAAGGTCCCAATTTCATACAATGAAGTCATTACTTAGTGTGATTTCTTATTTTTATGTCCTTGCTGTTGAATACACAATACAGCCAAGATTCAAGTTCTCCTCCTTTTTTATATTTATTCATGGGATGAGGGTGTCATGGTTTCATGGTCATCATTAGACTCTTGATTCCAGATTTTTGAAAACTTCAAATTTAACCCTGTGCCACGGTGGTATTCAAACCTAGGTTTTTGTCTTTATTTATTTACAGGACGAGGGCATTGCTGGCTTGGCCAGCATTTACTGTCCATCCCTAATTGTTCAGATGGCATTTCAGAGTCAACTGCATTGCTGTGGGTCTGGAGTCAGATATAGGCCAGACTAAGTAAGGATAGAAACGTAGAAGATAGGAGCAGGAGGAGGCCATTTGGACCTTTGAGCCTGCTCCGCCATTCTTCATGATCATGGCTGATCATCCAACTCAATTCAGGATGGCAGCTTCCTTCCTGAAGAACATTAGTCAACCATATGGATTTTTCCATCAATCGGCAATGGATTCATCATTAGATTCCAGATATTTATTGAATTTAAATTCCACCATCTGCTGTGGCAGGATTTGAACCTAGATCCCCAGAACATTATCCACGTCTACGGATTAATGCCCCAGCTATAATACCTCTAGGGCATCACTTCCCCTGTTTGACAATCCATTTTCTAAACCTTTATTATTGATATACTTTAGCTTTATCATTGCAGTCCTGTAGTCATGTCTGGATTTAGAGTATCTAACCTATGAATCTGTCCATGCAGTCCTTATTGTATCAGCTGCTAAGCTGTCTCCTAAATTGACAATATGGTAGAAATGCAACATACAATCATTATAGATCAGAATTGCACTGCCTACTGGTAAATAGTGAAACAATAATATTCTGGGGGTGACTGTGCTCACACCTGAAGAAGGCATCAAACACTTTGGACATAAGAATGTGGAGCCTAAAGCCGGTTTGTGATCTCCGCTATAAGATTTGCAAGATGTGAGGCAGCTGAGACAGATTTCTTGAATTTCTGGGCATTTGTGTTTGAAATGACACAACAGACCTATAAAGCAATGTTTAAAATACTAGCGCTGATTCTGTGGTTTAAAATATTCCATATTTAATGATTAATTCCAATATATTGTTGAGATTTATTTCTTTTCACTTGTGTTGGATCAAAATTGATCTTGGGCTGATTCCTAATGACTTAGATCAGCCAGTATTTGAAGAAATAAAGCCAGCAGACTTTAGGGTAGAACATTTGTCATTACAATCCACAGCAACAGTGCTGCAGTTATATGTAACACGTGATGCGTTATATAACAACCCTTTAAGTTTCATCTCTCAGTATAGAGTGTGTGATATGCAGAAGACTTCCAACAGTGTGCTGTTACATAAAATATTCACAGGGTCTGCAGTTACCTAGTAACAGAAACAAAGTTAGCACTTTGACAAAGTGATGTTTTCAGATTAGATCATGTGATGTGAACTGTCATTTTTACCACCTACAACTATTAAAGTGAATAATTGTTTAAAATCTACCTCCACAGAGCTGGTGTATTTTTAAAGAAAGAAAGCAAATTGATTTTCGTGCACAAGTCATAATTAACAGATCTTAGGTCTCCCACTCCCATTCTCAATACCACACCCACCCAACACACACACATCTCAAATTGATCCACCCACCCATCCTGCATTGTTTAGGGCATAAGTGGGAATGAAAAACCTAGAGAAGATCATTCAGCCCCTCAGACCTGTTCCATCATTGTTGGATTATGGCTTATCAGTGCATTATCATGGCATCTTCCATACTAATTGTTCATATCCGCACATACACCATTGATCATCCAGGGGATGGACAAAGATTCACTTGTTTAAGCAAGAAGGGCTTGACATTCTGACACTATTATTCAATGCCCTTCCAACAATTACCACATTCCTGGCGCTGCTTCTTTCACACTTACACTTGCTTTTGCTTCTCTGTGCCTCCCCCACTCTATTCCAAATCCCAGCACCATCATCAACCAACCAAAACAGTCCATACCTGGTACTCCACCATGCTGCAGCCTGGAACATCTTCATCATCTTACTGTCAAGTCCTATTTGTCCATCTTCCCTATGCTCTTAGCATGACAGTGCCTCAATTTAAAATTACCATCCTTACGTTCAAATTCCCCCATCTCAGTGTTTCCTATTCTGTAAGCTCCTTTAGCTCTAAAATCCTCCTGGATCTCTGTGCTTCTCCATAGGAACATGGAGGATAGGAGCAGGAATGCACCCTTTGAGCCTGCTCTGCCAAATGACTAGAACATGGCCGATTTTCTGCCTTAATGCCATTTCCCTCAACTATCCCCACATCCTTTAATTTCTTGAGTATCTAGAAATCCATCTCCACCTTCTGACTTTTGCACATTTTTCAATTACCTCACCCCATTATTGATGAGCTTCTCTTCAGCTTCCTGGGCCTAAATCCAGGAATTCTCTCCCCCCAATTAAGAAGCTTTTAAAAATGTATATTCCATGTAATATTTTATTACTGTGAAACTCTTTGGGATGTTTTTAACTTTCATAAAGCTATGATGCTAGTTCCAACACAAAAACAAAGTTGCTGGAAAAGCTCACCAGGTCTGGCAGCATCTGTGAAAGAAAAAACAGAGTTAACATTTCGGGTCTGGTGACCCTTCCTCAGAACTGACGGTGGCTGGGAAAATGTTAGTTTATACGCAGAAAATAAGGATGTAAGTTCCAGCTGTGTTTTGAAAAGGGAAAATAGTACTTCACAATCATGGCTTCACCTTTACAATAACCTCTCTCGCCCATGCAACATTGTCACTAACAACATGTGGGCACTGCATAAAATTATGAGGGGATATCTTGAACCCTAGGCTGTTTGCCTAAGGAGGTCTTTGTGCAATTTTCTCAATTTTTATTTTCAAATTGGTCAGGTGTTTTAATCTGGATTGTCAACTGTCCCAGGAGGTTCCACAACTCTGGCTGGGATGGGGGATTGTTTATTGGGACATACAAGGTGTCACAGCTGTGAGACAGGACCCTTATTCCAGTGGGTCTTTTCTGTTTAATGTTGTAATGTGCATTTATATTTCAGGATAAAGAATGCATCGGAGCAGTTAACGTCCTCTCAGCCTGGCCCTTGTCTGGATAAAATAAAACTGGATAGAATAAAAAACCATACACAGAAAAACTTTGAGCTGGTTTCCCAGGTGAAGAGGGACAGAGATCGGTTGATTTCTCTCTGTAAGTAAGACTACTTGAGAGGGAATGAGCTAGATGCAATGGGTTGTGCTGTTTTTGTTTGTAATAATGCCACCTTACAACACTGGAGGAGTTTATTTGGGTCATCATGCTTGTGCTGGTTCATTGAAAGAGCTATCCAGTGAATCTCATTCCTTCACTCTTTCCCCATTTGTTTCCCCTGCAAATGTTTCCTTTGAGTGTATATCCAATTCTTTCAAAAAAGCTATTTTTAAAAATTTTGTTTACTTATTTATTTGAAACCTGTTTGAACATTAAATATTAAAAGTATGGTGGTGGTGGCGGGGGCATGCGAACCAGAGCAGCAGAGCAGGATGGCAGAGGATAATAGGATGAACAAGCAGGGCCAGTTTTTGTTTATTCATTCATGGGATGAGGGCGTCGCAAACTTGGCCAGCATTTATTGCCCGTCCCTAAATGGGAATTAAGAGTCAATCACTGCAGGTCTGGAGTCACATGTAGGCGAGAACAGGTAAGGATGGCAGTTCCCTTATAAAAAAGACATGAGAGAACCAGATGGGTTTTTCCTGACAATCAACAATGGATTCATGGTCATCATTAGATTCCTAATTCTAGATTTTTATTGAATTCAAATTCCACCATCTGCCGTGGCGGGATTTGAATCCAGGCCCCAGAACATTACTTGGGTCTCTGGATTAATAGATCAGTGATAATACTCTACGCTGTTGCCCCTCCCAATGAACATGGCAGGGCTGTAAGAAGGTTCATTGAGTAAGCCCGGAGGGAAAAGTAATAAAAGGATGCTGAAGGACAGGATGGAGTGTACAGCCAAAATTAGAGTTCTCTACACAAATGAACAGAGTGTAAAAGGAACAAATTAAATGAGTTGCATGCACAGATTCAAATTGGAAACTATGATATAGTAGCCATTACAGAGACATGGCTGCAGGATGGTCAGGAATGGGAACTAAACATGACATGTTGTAATGTTTACAGGAGGGATAGAGAAAATGGAGGAGCGTTATGGATTAGAAACAGAATCACTTCTGTGGTGAGGGAGGATGCAATGAGAGGAAAATACCCAGTACAGATCTTATGAGTTTCTCTGAGGCACCATAAAGGAACTAAAACCACAATAGGTGTTATATATAGATCACCTAATTGCAGCTCAGAAGTGCTATATTATAGAAATGTTGGAATTAGGCAACTCTGCAGCAAAGGCAGAGGAGGAATGGGGGATTTTAAACTTAACATAGACTGGGGGAGGCAGACAAGCGCCTGCCAGAAAGTTTGTGAATTTCTAGAGTGTGTCCAGGATAGTTTCCTACGGCAATGTCTTGGATGTGATAAGGGGACAAGCAATATTGGATCTACTAATGAGCAATGAGCCTGATTTAATTAGTGGTGAATATGAAAGGTTTGGAGGGATATGGGCCAAATGCGTGCAAGTGGGCTTACTTTAGTTTGGGAAATTTGATCGGCATGAATGAGTTGGACCTAAGGTTCTGTTTCTGTGCTGTATGGATGTATGACTCTATGACCTAGTAATTCACAAGTATTTGTCAAATAATGATCATAATGTGATCACGTGTCATGTTATGTTTGTAAGAGATGCATAAAGATTGGTTACTAGAATTGTGGATTTAGGTAAGGCAGACTTTAATAGGATGAGACAGAGACTGTCATCAGTAAACTGGGAAGCTCTGCCAATAGATAAAACAACTTAGGAAGGTGTTCAAAGAAAAATTTAATGCTATTCAGAAGCAGTTTGTACCCATGAGAAGAAAAAGCTCCACCTCACAAAAAAGAACAGCTATGGACACCTAAGGAGGTAAGGGACAGCATAAAATTAAAAGAAAGGGCTTGTAAAAATGCAAAGAACAATACAGATCCCACAGAATGGGACAAATATAAAGATTAACAAAGGCCACAAAATGACTTATATGAGTGGCTAAAAAGGATTATGAAATGAAACTTCCAAGGCACATAACAGACAATAAGAAGAGATTTTGTAGTTATATAAAGGGAAAGCAGCTGGCAGAGTGTACTAGTGGCCCACTGATGGCTGAGAGTGAGGACATTGTCAGTGACCATGGGGAGATGGCAGACATGATAAATGGTTATTTTGCTTTGGTATTCACAGCAGAAACGGAGGATAACTTGCCGGAAGTGCCAAAGAAATTAACAAAGGATCAGAAACAGGGTTTAAATAAAATTAGCATAAGTAAACTATCATTAATAGGGAAATGAATGGAACTGAACAGTGACAAATTCCCAGGACCTGCCGGTTTCAATCTGTGGGGCATTAAAGGACGTAGGAGAGCACATTGCCAATGCCCTAACCATAATCTCAGAAGTAGAATTAGGTTTTATTGTCATGTGTACTCAAGTACAGGGATACAGGAGTACAGTGAAAAGTTTACAATGTTGCCATTCACGGCGCCATCTTAGGTACAAAGTATCTAGGTACAAAATCTTCAGTAAAAAGTAAAAAAATAAAGAAATAAGTTAACAGTTCCAAACTGCAATCCTTCCCTGGATTTGGGAGTTGTACCTCTGGATTGGAAAGTTGCTCATGTTATTCTGCTCTTTTAGAAGGATGACAGAGGGAAACCAGGGAATTACAGAGCAGTTAGCATAACATCTGTGGTGGGGAAATCACTGGAGTCAATAATCAAGGGTAACTGATCACCTTGAAAAATGACAATTAATCAGGGAGAGTCAGCATGGATTCATAAAGGGTCGGTCATACCTGACAAACCTGACGTTTTTTTGAAGAGGTGACAAGTCAATGGATGTTGTTTTCTATGGACATCCAGAAGGTTTTTGATAAAGTCCCACACAAGGTGGAAACCCACAGGACTGAGGGAAAATTACTGACATGGATGAGAAATTGGTTGTGTGGCAGAAAACAGCAAGTTGGAATAATGGGTAACTACTCAAATTGGAAGGACGTGACTAGTGGTGTCACATAGGGATCTCTGTTGGAGCCTCAATTATTTGCAATATTCATTAATGACTCAGATAATGGCATTAAAAAGTCAAATATACATATTTACCGACAACATAAAATTGGGTAGCATTGTAGACAGTGTTAACGATAGTATTAAGTTACAACAGGGTGTTCATAGATTAGGTGAGAGCTGTGGCAGATGGATTTTAACAAAAGCAAGTGTGAGGTTATCTGTTTCAAATCACCAAGGGACAGATCAGGGTTTTTTAAGAAGCTCAGAGTTAAATACAGCGGCTGTCCAATGAGATGTGGGGTTCAGGTGCAGAGCTCTTTAAAATGCCATAAAGAGCTGCAGAAAATAGGCAAGAAGGCTAATGGAATGCTGGCCTTTATATATAAAGTGCTGGAGTGTAGGGATGGACACATTATGCTGCAGTTATCCAACATCCTAGTTAGACCCCACATAGAGTACTGTGAGCAGCTCTGGGCACCACACTTTCGGAAGGATGTTTGGACACTGGAAGGAATTCAACACAGGTTTACAAGAATGATACCTGGACTTCAGGGGTTAAGTTATCACAGAACCATAGAATCCCTACAGTGTGGAAACAGGCCCTTCGGTCCAACAAGTCCATACTGACCCTCCGAAGAGCATCCCACCCAGATCCATCCCCCTATAGCCCACCTAATCTACACATCCCTGAACACTACGGGCAATTTAGCATGGCCAATCCATCTAACCTGCACATCTTTGGACTTAGAGGAGAGATTAGACAAATTAGGCCTATATTCTCTAGAATTTAGAAGGTTAAGGGGTGATCTGATCGAGGTCTTCAGGATATTAACAAGGTAGATGAAGGTAAACTATTTCCATTGCTTGAAGATTCTAGAACTGGGGACGTGGTCTGAGAATTGGGGCCAGGCCTTTCAGGAGAAATGTTATGAATAGTGTAAAGAGTAGTGGAGGTTTGGGACTCTTTTCCTCAAACGATGATCAATGCTAATTCAATTGTTAAATTTAAATCTGAGATAGACAATATTTTATTAAGCAAGGGTGTCAAGGGGTGAGGGCCCAAGGCAGGCAAATGGAGTTAGGCCACACATTTGCCATGATCCTATTGAACTGCGGAACAGGCTCAATGGGCTGAATAGCCTACTCCTATTTCTATGTATTTCTGAATTTCAAACCATCTGCCAATTTCAAAATTATGTCTTCTCAAAGCAGATCTGTGAGGAGGCCTTGCAGTGCAGAAGTTCCAGGTTTAAGTCCCACTCCAGGACTTAATGCATAAATAAAAACTAGGAGACTAGGTTAATTTAGGATATCTGGTCAGCGTGGACAAGTTGGACAGAAGGGTCATCTTTAGATGTGGCGCTATCTGCCGTGGTGAGATTTGAATACATGTCCTCAGAACATTAGTCTGGATTACTAATCCAGTGACATTACCACAATGCCAGCACTTCGATAAGGTGATTTTAAAACGGGTATTAAATCAAAAAGCAGCAGAGCTTATTTCTAGTGGGATAGAATAGAAAATTAAAGGATTTATAATACAGCTATATGGAACAGTAGTTCAACCTATTTAAGTATTATATGTGATTCTAGTCTCTCTGGAACTGCCTTTCTCGCTGCACTGTAAGTGTCTCTACACCATATAAACTTCAGTGGTTCAAGAAAGTGGCTCACCGGTCTGCTTAGGGATGGGCAGTAAATGCTGGTTCAGCCAAAATGTTCACATCCTGTCAATGAACTTTAAAGAAAGGGGGAAATACAAGCACTGGAGAAAGTGTAAAAAAAATTATAAGGATTATATCAGAAATGCGAGCTAATATCTACCAGGTAAGGATTGATGGTCTCGATCTCTTTTCCCTTGAAAATTATATGATGTGAGATGACCACATAGAGGTCTTTTAAAATTGTGAAAGATTTTAATCATGTGGTTATAGAGAAGTTTCCTCGTGTGGGGAAGAGCAGAACTAGAGGCCATCAATAGAAGATAGTCACCAAGAAATCCAATAAAGAACTTGGAAGAATACTCTTTAGATAACGAGCTATGAGAAAACAGAACTTGTAACCACAAAGATAATTATACAGTTGCACTGAAGGAGTGGTTTGATGAGCCTATGATAGTGATGGATTGAAATGAGGAAGAATGAGAAAGTGGAGCATATCAGTTTGGGCTAGTTGGGCTGAATGGCCTATTTCTGTGCCACATATCTAACCTAATCCTTACTTAGTCTCAGACCTCACATTTAATCAGATTAAGAAGTGCAATGGAAATTAGATAAATACAATTAAATTATCATCGCATTGCAGGACTAGTTGATTCCAGCTTGGTTCAGATATATTCACAAACGCTCAACAAAGGGCAGGATCACTGAAATATTTCTTTATGTTCATAGATGGACAGAGACTGACCCTGGACCTCAACACAGCCCATGCCCAGTTCATCCTGTCTGATGGAAACAGGACTCTGACTCTCTCACCGAAGAGGCAGTCTCTACCCAAGAATACCGAGAGGTTTGACTGCTGCCAGCAGCTATTGTGTGCTGAGGGAGTGAAAGCCGGCCGCTCCTACTGGGAGGTGGAGGTGCTGGGAGACAGCGGTGTGTGGAAAATTGGCCTCTGTTACAGGAGCATCAGCCGTAAGGGCAAAGGAACAGAGTGTTTACTGGGAAGGAACCACAATTCGTGGTGTCTATACTCATTGGTGGGCTCTGTTTTAGCCCTTCATGATGACAATGATACGAAGCTGACAGTGGGAAACATTTCCAGGGTGGGAGTGTATGTAGACTTTGAGGCTGGGACCATCTTGTTTTACAGTGTCTCTGATAGGAAGCTCACCCTGGTGCACACCTTCCAAGAGCAAAACTTCACCGAGGCTCTCTACCCTGCCCTGCAGATTGGTGACTTCACCACATCGCTGTCTCTATGTACGCTGAAATAATTTCCAATCTGTGATTGGTACAACACATTCAGGAGGCCATTCAGCCCATTGTGCCTGAACTGGTTCTCTGAAAGTGCTATCTGATTAAACCCACATGTTTCTTTTAATTAATAGCCTGGCACATTTTCCCCATCAAGTATTTACCAAAATTATGATTGGACTTGGGAATTTATAACTTTACTCCCTGCTTTATTTTCGTTATATTAAACAGCCTCAATGAGAACTGTGGGTACGTTACCCCTTTCAACTAAGTGTACTTCAAGCTGAGAGGAATCCCTTATGACAGGGTTTGTCAATTTTAGTTTGCAGGGGTTACCCTTTGCAGCATGAACAGAGAGAGCCCAAGCTGTGAATGAGGACTGTGTGATTGGTAAAGGATGTGGCTTTTGAAAATAGCCAGGGACAACCTTGTGAGATCATTGTGACTCTCAGCTGCCCTGTGCTCAAGTTTTTGGGTTGATGGGGCTCCCAGAAATCTTGGTGCACCCTCTGGGGTTATTAGGATTGCATTTCCCAACATCTACCCCATTCCAGTTCTTTCTTCAGTCAGTGAAATATCCATGGATAGATTGTTGAATCTAGGATCACTTTTTGCTTCTTGCCCCAGTTCCCACCTCTCCATCTCATCTGGAGTTGGTCATCACTCAGATGTCATGGCACTTGGCTTCCAGAAAGTCACAATTCCACTTTCATGAATCGTAGAAACAATTTAGCATCCTCTTCCGAGCAGTGCTGCCCCACCTACCAATTAGAAATGCCTGAGGAAAAAATGGTAGGTTCCTGGAGTCATGATGAGCCTGGACAGTGGACATGATAACTTGACAATCAAAGGAAAGTCCAGTCCTGTGTACTCCCACATTCCAGATCCATATTTCTTCAGTGCTCTTGGCGTTTTGATTTTCCTTCTTTGGTTGACTCCCCCTCCCCATTTAACCCTTTGACCATTTTGCTTTGATTAGGACAAGTGCCACTCAGCTTTCTGTTCAGTATTCCTGTTGTGGCTTACCTTAATTCTAAAATTGGTATCTGTTTGCTGCTGCTGTTGTGCTGGAGTCTGCAAAATCCGAAAATAATGTTGATACTTTCTGCAATCTGTTGGTGTCTGTGGAACAGTTTGTTTAACAATTCCTCGGATTCTGGTGTTGGTGCCTGTTACATGCTTAGAATAACCTGAACGCCAATGTTAATCTTGGGTACTTTGCTAATGGACAAAGAAGCTGCTGAAATGTGAAACATTTTGCATTGTTGGAACATAAAGCATCTGTTGTATTTAGAAACTTGATTTGTCAACATCTTTTGAAAGACTTGCATTCATGTAAACACCTCAGGACATCTCAATATACTTAACAAACAATAAAGTACTTTGAATTGTAGTCACTGTTCAAGATGGCAATGCGGCTGCCAATTTTCACACAGCAAGATGTAACAAATCATTAGCATTAACAAACTCATAATCTGACAATAGGCTGTGGTATTTAGACATCATAATTAGGAAAAATTTAAGCTTTGATTTTGAGTTATCCAATCATATTGATCATATCTGATCACGTAAAGGAACAAAATCACCAACTTTTGATCATTATCCACTGGTCCTAGGCTAAATGGTGAGAACATGACCGAATGGGGAAGCACTAATACCAAAGTCTCTCTCTCTTCAATTAATCAGCATGTCAATGGGAATATACATATAAAAGTAAATCAAATAGTCCCTTCAGTGTCTTCTGTTTCAGTCCAATCCCTGAAACACTTGTGGTTAACACAAGCCTTTCAATCTCAGACTTAACATTAGTGTTTATGAACTAATGGCATTCCCTGAGAGTGAGAAGTATACTTGTCCAGAGTAGTGGAATATAGAGAGCAGGAGAAGCCCTGTAAGAGTTAGGGGTGACGTAGTGAAAGGTAAAGGAGATGGAAAAAGAACAATAAAAGGCTAAGGGAAAAAAATAGCATCGTAAGAACACCCATTTTCCACATCAGCAGTTGGTCATTTAGCAGTGTGCTTGTCATTGGTGGTAGATGGGGCCTTCTTGAGTTTTTTTATCTCCTCACAACTACAACCTTAGTCATCCATGCTGCTTCAAAACCAATTATACATTGGTGAAGCAAGCTTATCATTGTGGATGATCCTGATCTCTTCCCAGCTAAGTGCAATTGCAAAGGAATGAGGACAGAGTTGGCTGGAGTGGACTGGGAAAGGAGTTCAGCGGCAGCAGCAGCAACAAAGATGATTGAGGAAACATGACAGAAATTTTAAAAAAAAGTCCATGGGTCAAAACAAAGATATATCCCAGTGAAAAAGAAGACTTCTAGGAAGGGAATCAGCCAGCCAATCTTCATCAGGGAGGTTGAATCAAATTGCATCAAATTGAAATAAAGATATGTAATGTGACAAGGATTAACGGTAAGGTAGGGGATCAGGAAAGTTTTAAAAACCAAAAAAAAAATGACCAAGAATCCTAAATTCAAGAAAAGGGTTACAGGATTGGAAAATTGCCAATGTAACACTTCTATTCCAAAATGGGAGGCAAAGAACATGTTACTCATTGGTCAATTGGCTTAAAATCTGTTATTGGGAGAAAGTAGGGAATCTATTAGTAAAGATGTAATAACAACATTTAGAAATGCATATTATGATCTGGCAGAGTCAGCATGGCTTCATGAAGGGGAGGTTAATGCCTTACAAATTTATTAGAATTCTCTAAAGAAGGAATAAGCGATGTAGGTAAAGAGAAAGCATGTAATACATATTTTTGGATTTCCAAAAGGCATTTGATAAGGAATCATATATGAAGATACTTAATGATTGTGTGACGTTGGAGCAGTATGTTAACATGGATAAAGAACTGGTTTACTAATAGGAGACAGAGAGTTGGGATAAGGGGGTATTTTCATGATGGCAATCTGTAACCAGTGGAGTGCGGTGGGGATCAGTCTGGGGCCATAATTATCTTCTGTACATATTAATGACTGGGATGAGGGAAGTGAATGCAGCATTGCCGAGTTTGCAGATGACACAGAAAAAAGGAGGGAAGGCAATCGGTGAGGATGACACAAAGAATTGCCAGGGAATAGAGACAGGTTAAGCAAATGGGGGAAAAGAATGGTAGATGGAATATAATGGTGGATAATATCCCAGGAAGAAGAGGAACTGTGTTATTTCTCTCTGTGAGGGGAGACACCCAAAGGGGATTCTCTCTCTGTCTGGGGGATTTATCTCACTCACTCTCGGTGTCTCTTTGTCACACACACTCGGCCTCCCCTCCCTGTCACAGACACACAGTGTCCCCAGGGGCGTGGGGCAGTGGTGATGCTCCTCCCCGCCCCTCTCTGACGGTGTGTGCGGGCGGTTCCGGTCCCTCTCGGATTCTGTCTATCTCTCTGTCACTGTGTGTGTCTGTGGGGGTGGCGATGGCCGAGTACCGGGTGGTGCAGGGCGGCGCGCTCAAGCTCAAAGGAGTCTCCGACCTGGGAGTGAAGAGGTGAGACCGCGGGCAGAGGGAGCTGGGGATGCGGCCTCCCTCACACCGGGACCCGGGGACCGGGCCCAACTCCAGTCCGGGGCCTGGGGCCGCGCTCCCGGGAAGGCCGCAGGAAAGGCCTTGGCCTCGGAGAAAGTGATCAGCCCCGGGAACTGTGTCCTTAGGGAGGGGGCACCGCCGGAGGGTCTGTGCTGAGGGAGGGGGCACCG